TTAAATATTCTAGAGTCAGGTATAGACTTATTTGTGATCCTCCTGAAATAATGATGGTGACTTGAATAGAGTCTAGTTCCCACTTTCTCTGATGCTTGAATCTAACTCCTGGTGGGTTGAAATCTGAACCCATTTGGTGACCAGTTTTCTGAAGCCGATGTGCCAAGATGAACCCACTTGAAAACTGTGGGCTCTGGGACTTGGCTGCAAGGCCCGTCCAGCTGAGGTGGGCTGGCCCAGCATCTGCTGCCTGCATTGTGCTTAATGCTGGCTCCATCTGTTTTCTGTCAAAGCTAGTGCCAACAAATTACTAATCTATTAGAGAAACATGGAAATAAGATTGCACTCCTCAGCCCTGGCTTTTTCTCTCATGTTTTGCTTGGCTCACATATTTGGTTTTTGTTTATTTGGGGGAGAAAGATATGTTATCAAGTAGGCAAAGAGTAGGGGGCATGAATCATTTTTCACTTCTCACGTATTTTTAAAAGATGATGGGGAAAAGATCACATTAGTCGTTATTGATAATACACTTGTTGAGGATGGTGACAGCACCTATCATTCATTGGGTAACTGTACTGGTCAGTTTCTACTCTTTCCCACTATTATCGTTACTTTACAGACGGCCAGACTGATGTTCAGAAAGGCTCAAAAACTTGTCCCGGCTTAGGCCACTAGGAAGTGTCAGAACCAACCCTCACACCTGGACTCTGGTGCCCGTGCTTTAGTCCCTGCTGCCTTGTGAGCCATTCCGAGCCTTAGAAACCATCTTTGTCTGGGCACGTGAGTTTAATGAGGAAAGCCTTTAACGTTTCAAGGAGACTGAGCATCTCAGTCATTTCTTTTCTGTGTTCGCTAAAATACAGCCCCTGACTGTTACACCAAAGGTGCCAGCCCGCAGGGTGACGGCCCTTCTCAGCCCTGGCTGGGAGCGGAGTTCTACTCCAGCGGTGAGCAGAGCGCCCCAGAGTCAGGCGCCTCCCTCTCCGGTGGAACCACACTGTGGGCCTCGTCCGCAGTGACCACGTCTGAATACCTGTTTTCTAAAACAAGTAAAGTGTTCTTTCATTTCTTCAAAAGCAAAGAGTACATATATTTTCACTGAGTAAAGTTTCTTACCAAATGAGCCAACCAAATGAGCACTGGGGGAGGGTGGAAACTGGCTACCCTGAGTGATAGCATGAGTGTGTGAATTAATTTCATTTGCATTCAAAATGTGCATGAGTTTATTTATTTTTAATAAAATCGAGAGCCTGAAAGGAGCACTAGATTTCACTGGCGTCGTTGGATAACGTGGAAGTCAGGCATGTGAGGTCAGGCGGGGAGAAGCCCTCAGTGTGCTCACGGGGAAGGGTTCTGACTGCCGGCGTGGCGGGGCGCAGCGGCCTGCCCCTGTTCTGTGCCCCTCCCTGTGGGGACAGGCAGCAGGTGCCCTTTCACCGAGATGGTGTGACAGGAAAACAGACCTTATGGGTGGTCCCATGGAATGGGAGATGCAGAAGCAACTTAAGAGCTTTTTACAAAGAATGTTGGAATTTATAAACTGATTTTTTTTTTTTTTTTTTTTTTTACCTTTTACTTGAAACAGTATAAGTTTGATTATTTCTGCAAGGGCAGAGTAGGCTTTCTTCATGAAACTCAGTTAAATTTGAGGAGCTGGCCGTAAACGACTGACTCACGTGCACCTCAGTGGCTCTGGGGGTAATTTAGGCTCAACTCGTCCTGTTCTGCCTTTCCATTCTCTTTTATTTTCCGATCGCTCACATTGCTGGTGCCTCCCTCTGCTGTTCCTTCCTGTAGCCTTCCAGAGGATGTCCAGGGCCCGAGAAGTGGCTGGCTCTAAAAAGTCACTTTCTGTGCTGGTGGAGCATTTTTATAGCTTGTCCCAAGATTGGTCTAAGCAAGGGTCAGCAGATTTTGGCCCTCTTTGGCCCGCCGCCTGTGTTTGTAGATAAAGTTTTATTGGAACACAGGCAGTCCCATTTGCGTATACATCACCTCTAGCCACATTGGAATGGCAGTGGCAGCTAAGTTTGGACAGAGACCGTTTAGACCACAAAGCCCTTTACAGAAAGTGTGCTGGCCGATGGTCTGTGTGGACAGCGACTTTCACCTTCGCACCATCTGCAATGAATAATAACGCTTCACAGACAACCAAATAAGAAAGTACACGCAATGTACCTGATAAAGAGTAGGCAGCCAATCAATGTTGAAAAGGCTGTACTTTCTTGCAGCTTTGTTGGGGATGCAGCTTCCTATGTGTGGACCTAAGAACACCTGGCTCCATGATTGTGAACTTATTGTGATAGCAGCACACTCCCTCCTTCAGCACCTGGGCAGGCCGCGCTGTGCCACGTGCTCGGACCCTGACCTGCGCTCGGACCCTGACCTGCGCTCGGACCCTGACCTGCACTTGCAGGCTGCCGGGCTGCGCGCCAGGACCCTCCACCACCGGCTGCGTGGCCACGGGCTCCTCAGCTCTAGAATGAGGATTGTAATAATAGGGGACGCCTTATGCCTCACGTAGGGATTAAATGAGTTAATACAAAGAACTTGGGACCCAGCTTAGCACATAGTTAATATCAAATACCTGCTCTTCTTGCTGTCACTAATCAAATCCAGTCTCTGCTGGAAACTCGGGGGAAGCCCCTCACCCCCAGAGGAGCCCCAGGCAGAATGCGCCCCTGCACGGGCCCCACCGCCTCTCCAGGGCGTCATCTGGCTGCTCTGCCCCCGGGCCTCTTCTGTCAGGGCGCGCCCCTTCTCTGCCTTCCTGGCCGCCCAGCAGTGAAACCCCTACCTTGTGTTCTATCACTTAACCCCAGCAACTCCCAGGGAGCCCACCTGAGAGAGCATCACCTTTGTTTTACAGAAAAGGAAATGAGACAGAATTAAAACACCTTACCTGAGCCCTGCAGTCAGTGAACGCAGGAACCTTCACTCAGTGGCAGCCCATGCGGATCCCGGCGCCTGCGCCCTGCAGACCCCTGAGCGCGCAGCCCAGCAGCGCCTCATTCAGAGAAACGCCCCAGCTCTGCCGCCTGGGGAGACCCTGCGCCCCACACGAGCAGACCTCCTCTTAGTCCCTTTGCTTGTCACAGAGCACTCTCTTTGTTTTGCATTTGTCTTTTTTCTTGCCTTACCCCTGCTGTTCCGCCTCATGCCACACACGTGCATACACACGTGCACATATTGGGTTGGCCAAAAAGTCCATTACATTTTTAACGTGCAGTGGCTCTAATAGTGCTTAGTTGTCTTTAACTTCATTCTAAACGATTTTGTTATATTGTATTGTGACAGCTGTCATATCATCTGCATTAAAAAAAATTAAAATTCGTGAATTTGTACAGCAATTTTAATGTTGAAGATGGAAGAAAATGTGTAACATCTTCTGCATATCAGGCTATATTATTTCAAATAAGGTAAAAAATGCAACTGAAACACAAAAAAAGATTTGTACAGTGTATGAAGAAGGTGCTGTGATTGGTCAAATGTGTCAGAAGTAGTTTGCGAAGTTTCTTGGTACTATTGACATTTTGGCCAAGTAATTCTTTGCTGTGGGGCTATATTACCTATTGGAAGATGTTTAGCAGCACCCCTGACCTCCGCCCACTAGAAGGCAGTAGCTGGAGATAGTCGACATACTCAACATATACCACGTTAATCAAGTTATTTGTGAAAGTGAAAAATGTGTCTTTTATTTTATGGAAAAAAACTACGTGGGGTCTTTGGCCAATCCGATACTTAGATCATGAGGTGGTTGAGGGCAGGAATTGAATTGTATTTAACTCTATGCCTAGAGTGAACCCCTGTGCCTAGAACAGTTATGTTGTATGAATGAGTACATTATTCCCAAAAGTGCTGAGGAATGATTGAGAAACGCTAGTCCGTATTCTACAAACACTTGTCTTTCTACATGTGTTTTATTTCAACCATCATTTTTTGGAAGGCAGCATATTTCATTGGTTACTTGCATGGATTCAGAGTCAATTTGCTTAAACTTGAATCTGAAGCTACTGATTGTTGGTTTTCTTCATTTGTAAGTGGAATCATGGCCGTATCTGTGTTTCATATGGTTATCAGAGAGATGAAGGAAACCGTTGGCACAGAGCACTTACCACAGTGTCTCGTTCGCAGCATGGGACTGGAGTGGCATTAGGTGTGCTTTTCATTTGCTTGAATTTAGTGTATGCACACTTGATCCCAGTGAAAGGTGTGGCAGGAGAGAAGGCGGCGAACTGTTGAAACAGTCCCAGTCGTGGCCGCAGCGGTTCCACTCCACGCACGCGTGCCCCCATGTGCGCAGGGTGGCAGTGGGTGGGCGTGTGGTTGCAGCTCCTCCTCCCAGGTCCAGCCTGCCTCCCAGCTGCCGCCATGCCAGTGCTCGAAACTGTTTCATAGGACATGGCACCGAACACAAACCAGCCACTCTATCTGGTGCTCAAGCCAAAAAGAAAGTGTCCCTAACACCAGAGGAGAGCGGGCTGTGCTGCTGTAATGTCAGGTTTCCACGGGGCTCCTCCTACGAGGCTTTGCGGGCGGCTTGACCCTCTGTGCATTTTGTCCTGCGCGTCTCTCCGAACCCCCCGTCATCACTGTCCTGCAGTCGTGCGGCATCGTGCCATCAGTGGAGACGGGAGTGAGGATTTGGGGTGAGGTGTAAGAGCGGGAGGTGTTGTATATGGAAGCAGCACCCAGTGCTAGCGCCCCTTGCCTGTTGGTAGATGTATTCGTGATTAGCCCGGATCCCTCCCCCAACCACCACCACCCCCCCACCCCCCGCTCCAGCCACACTGTCCTGTGTGGCTCTCTGCCTTTGGAATGTGCAGAAAGCGCATGTTTGGACTGTCGGCCTCACCAGCACCAACGGGGGAGGGTTAATAAGGATAATGACTATTATTCCGTGTTGATCACATTGTTGGACAAAAAGTATTTCCAGTGAATGTTTTCACAACTCCAGGTAATAAGTAAAAGGCCTTAATTTGTGTTTGCTTTTTATTTAGGTAACTACTCCAGACCCCCAACGTATAGCGGGGTGCCCAGTGCAAGCTACAGTGGCCCAGGGCCTGGCGTGGGCATCAATGCCAACAACCAGATGCATGGACCAGGGCCAGGCCAGCCATGTGGTGCTATGCCCCTGGGACGAATGCCATCGGCTGGGATGCAGAACAGACCGTTTCCTGGAAATATGAGCAGCATGACCCCCAGCTCTCCTGGCCTGTCCCAGCAGGGCGGGCCCGGAATGGGGCCGCCAATGCCGACCGTGAACCGTAAGGCACAGGAGGCAGCTGCTGCAGTGATGCAGGCCGCTGCGAACTCAGCGCAGAGCAGGTACGCCGTCGGGCGGGCGGTCTGCGCGTGGGCTTGCGGGCGCGCGGGCGCGTGCGAGCACAGGCACAGTCCCGGGGGTCAAGGGGGGCGGTAGAGGGTCGTGTGCTCGGCCTAGAGCTCAGAAAAGTGAATGACAGACCAGTTCTCTGAGGCACTGATTAGGAGCCTGAGTCGGGAGCGAGTCACTGGGAATGGCTGCGAATAGTGTTGAACCGTCACCTCAGAACCAGGGGCAAAAGCAGTATCTGTGTGGCTCCCTTAAAACAGCAAGGTTTGGGCAGGAAAGTCTAGAGCCTATAAACTACTTAAAATCTTAAGCATTGAAAAAAGCCTCTCGTGTTTATTACCCTACCATAAAATTTTTATAAAATAGGAACTGTGTATATGCACATATGTGTATTGTGTGTGTTTGTCTAAATGTGTATGTGTGAGATTTATAGACTTCTTACGTTTTCTCTTTCTGGGCATATTTCCCTATCTGTCCAAACCAAAATGTGCTTACTAAAGCAAAGATAACATTTCAGAAAGTTTAAGTTGATCAGGAAAGGCTTTATCTTCAATTACTTGTTTTTAATCCTGATTTTAAAATTAATTCGTAAATATTTGACCTGTATAAGAATAACATACTGAATTTTAAAATTATGAGACCAAAGTGAATGTTTTCAGAGAACCACATGTAAATATGTTTCATGTTTAACATATGTTAAAATTCATTCTGAAGCAAAGCAAATTGAAAGATATGTGTGAGTATCTTGAAGAAAGGGTAGAAGATTCTGATTTTTTTTTTTTGAACAGAAATAAAAGCGTGTGTGTGTGTGTTTAAATGTATCCCTTTGTTACTTTTCCTGTGAAGCTGCTATTTTGGGAATGTTAGGGACCATTCCAGTCTCACTGTTTCCTCCAAATAATAAAAAATTTCCCCTGAGGAATCAAAATGAAAATCATTCATTCTCTTCCCCCCATTTTCTCCCTCCCCCCATTTCTCTCTTTCTCCCCCCATCTCTCTCTTTCTCCCCCCCAATCTCTCTCTCTCCCCGCCAACCCTGACTGTCATCCACATTACAATTAGGATCTTCTGAAGCCCTTGCAGACACCTCTAAACTGAACCTGTGCAGACTTTAGGGACTGTGTTAATGAACCTGTCTGTGAGGACTGGTTCGGCTGGTCCAGTTGAAGTTCTAATTTAGGTTTAAATGAATTGTCTGTTGTTGCAACTCATAAAGCACATATTAGTTTCTATTTAAATAGAAAGTACTTGATTAAATTTGATGTGAAGCCTTGGCTAGTGATCTGGGAAGAAGATGACCATAGAGATGCTGATTAAAAAACCTTGCTATGCTCCCTTTCTGAATCAGTTTACATATCATTTTACATAAAGTAATGGGTCGATATCAATCCCTGCATTTTCATTTTCCATTTGTAATCAGGAGACGATTTCAAAGCAAGCTCTCCAAGAGTTTAAATTAGGGGACTGCGTTTTTTGGCTTTGACCAAAATCAGACTGTCCCTCAGAACTGTGAACTGAGACTAGAACTAAGGATCTTACTCGGCCTCTCCTTTGCCCCATCCCACCTGCCCCCCTTTTTTAAGTAGTGCACCCCGTTCCACTGCCCCAGCTGCATGGTACGGAGTATTCCGCCACTTTCCGCTGCCCTCCACGCCTGCGTGTGGAAATAACAATGGACAGGGGTATTCGTACTTGTCTACGGAACAAATCCAAAGAAGCTGTTCTTCTGTTCTGCTTTAGGCCACCATACATTAGGTCGCCTGCTTATCCCAGCCAGTCTGGGGCTGGCGGACGCCCCATGTTTTCTTCCCAGCACCCCAACTATGGCAACTCTCAGGCTCCCATGATGCACCAGCCTGACCAGTACGGGTAGGTAGCAACAGCCCTGACTCGCTGGGGACCTGGGCCTTTTTTTAAACTGTTAATGAACATGCCATCTAGCTGCAAAGTAACACCCAGAACAAGAAAGTGAAAGACCCAAAAGGAACTCCATCTCAGAGGGGGGTGTGTTTTTTGTTTGTTTGTTTCTTTCTTTCTGTTTGTTTTGGGTGGTCGTTTGTTTTGTCCCGTGTTGTTCTCACCCATGGCACGGCGGTTTGGTAGCAGCCTGCATGCGCCCCCAGGCCTGTCTGCATGGCTTCCGGCTCGGCTCCCCCCTTCCACCCGAGAGGACCCCAGCCTGGGTCTGCGTGAAGTCACCCTCACTCCCCCCACTGGTGTTGTGTGTTGTCTAGGTGCTCGTATCGTGTTATCACGACTGTGCTGCCATCATCCCTCCCACTGCAGTGACCTGCTCCTGCCCACCCCTGAATTCAGAGTGCAGTGACCTCATTTGGCCAGAGACTCACTGCTGGAGACATGACTTAGGTTATTAATAGGACCCGGGAGGGGTTTCATTATAGCGTCACTAAACAGACGTCTGTGCCAAAGATCTCTGTTATTTCCCTCTCCCAAGGAGGCGTAGAATATTGAAGTCACCAGGAAAATACAACCAAATAATTCAACACAGAATTTTTTTTTCTAAACACGATGTTGCCATGTTATTTATTATCAATTACAACACAGGAATTACATACAGCAACAAAAAGTGTCTCTCTCCTTTCCCACTACAAAATTGTATAATATCAGCTGTCACCATTTTAGGTTAGTGGCTGCTCTTAAAGTATAGTATTATTAAGTGAGTTACTAAGCAAAAATATTATGATTGATGTCATTTTTGTATAGTAATGGTAAGATTATCCTACAGAGAATTATGTTCAGTAGTTAGTTTCTTTAGAAACATACCACATTCTTGGTTAAAATAGGGAACAATCAACTTGCCTTTTTTTTTTTTAAAGACTAAACTTATGGAACTGTGCATCACTAGCTACAAATGCATGATACAGAGAGCTTTCTGATAGTTTTATATTCAGTATACATCTATTTAGATGGCAAGAGCAAGCGATAATTTTGCAATTAAGAGTTCTAACCCTGTAAACATGGTTCTAAATGTGGACCAACAAAACAGAAAATTCTGTAAACATAATCCTGAAAGTGCAGTAACAAATAGAGAATTAGGTGAACATACTCATTTTGGGGAAATTGTTTTTCCTCTTTTTTCCTTCCTGTGGTACCTTCAAGGTCACCGCATGAAGCAGTGGGAAGATAGCAGTGGGGAGAGAAAAGCATTTGTCATCAGCTGCTAATCCATAGGATCTGTCCTTTCCCACCTCAGGAGCCCTATCTAGACCCACAAAGCTAGTGTGGCTGTGCCTTGCCAAGCCACATTAAGCAGCTGTGTAAAATGAATTTAAATGGCATGCATCAGAGTAAAATCTCTTCCACTGGGGCAGAAAATCAATGTTAGCTAACTGGCACGAGGAGACCCGACCTGCGCCTCCGCCGGCAGCATCCGGATCACTTCCTCGGAGTACAGCTCCTCCTCCTCCGTTAAAAATAAGAAAAGGAAAGATGTCTGCATTTCTGTGGAAATATTACAAAGCGCTTGGCAAAGGCTCATCTTTGCAGCCCCACCCTGGTTGGCTCTGAATTTTGTCTTTCATGTCTACAGTATTCTTTCTAAAAAAGAAAGAAAAGTTTTGTTTCCATTTTAAATCTTCCATCCTTTGTACTTTGCAATACACATAACCTGTTGTGCCTTTTTTTTTTTTAAGCTGAAGCTTGAATGTGAGAAAACATGTACAGTACATGTTTGAATGCTGTGGGTTCAGAAATCTGATTTTCCACATGCTTTTTGCTTTAACAGCTAGCTCATTGCAGCAAACTCGTGTTTTTGCTTTTGTTTTTGTTTTTCCCCCATTGATAGCTGTCAGGTAAAGTTGGGTTGACAGTTTAAAAATTCCTTTTTCTAATTGTCAGTTTCTCTTTTGGAGAGAGGAAAAAGTGTTCACAGTTTGTTATAATGACTTCTTTCTGAAGTCAGAATCCTAAAGGGGCTGGAGCCCGTGACAGAAGCGGAGGAAGGCAAGTCAGCGACGCAGATAGCGCGTGAGCGAGCTCGCGTGCGATTAGAAAGAGGCCGCTCTTGGCAAACGGGAGGGAGTGCGGGCAGGGAGCTTTCCCAAATTGGATGGACGATCAGGTTGGGTGGAAGGCCGTGGAGGGGAAGCACACAGGTGTGAGGGTGGGGGCGCCGGTCTCCGGTTCCTCCTGAGGGTGGCAGCGCAAGGGTAAGACCCACGCTCCGCACTGAGTAAGTTAAGGATTACACGGATGAATGGTCTTTTCTATTTCACCTTTTGAGTAAAGGAATCCCTCATTTTGACTATAAGAGAATTTGCAACAGAATGTGGTGGAATGTATTATTCAGGTACTAGACTAGCTGAGTGATAATATCCAGTATTTGAAATTAACAACTTACATCTGTTCAGGACACCCCCCCCCCCGCACCCCTACACTGATAGACTGTTTACTCAGAAAACGAATTGCTGTGTTCGGTTTTAAAACATTTCTAGTTAATGAAATAGTCTTGAATATCACGTCAGTGAGACACATAGTGGTTGGTCTTAACTGAAAGCCTGGGTCGGGGATGGCAGGTGACGCACATCTGCAGGCCCGCTCTGGCGGCTGTCGGTACTTTGCTCTCACACTGGAGACTGGGGCGTGGCTGTGACGGCAGGGACTCGGAGTGGTGCCGGGGGAGAAACGGAAGCGGGCGCTTTCACCCACACACACGCGGGCACGTGCGGGCACACGCGGGCACACGCGGGCACAGGCAGAGTCTGTCGTCCTCACGCTGCCCCCAGAAGACTCCCCAGCGGACTAACCCAACACCGCAGGAGGAAAACTCTCAGGCTACTGAGTCTTCAAAGCCACGAGTCGACTCAGAAAGTGCTCTCTCTACCCTGAATATCCCAGCCACAAGCCTGGAGAGACCTGCATTTTAATATTTTACGTCATACCAAAAACTAGGGTAGCTGAAATTAGTTTTAAAGTATTCTTGCTTTTGGTAAATTAGGAGAGCGGAGGTTTTATTTTTGAATCGTAACCGCTC